AGAGCCCCACCTCCAAATGCTATTACCTTGGGCATTAGGTTTTCAGCATGTGAATTTGGGGGGCGGAAAAGTGGAGGGAATTCAAACATTCAGACCACAGCACTGGGTAAGGAAAATCTCATCTTTCCAGTCACTATAAGATACAGATTTTGCATCTCAGAAGATTCCTAAACCCCCATGAGAATTCTAAGACTACACTATCCCACTCTATACTGCCTTTCCAGCTCCTGGCCCTGTCCCTCTCCACTTGACCCAGCACCAGTCCAGCTCTAAACCAATAGCAAGCTGAGACCTCTCTAATGCTTCTAACACACTTGATACCTGCTGCCCCAAATGCTCTTCCTGATACTACTGTGTCCCATGAACCCCTTCTTACCCTGCAACACTTGGCTTGTGAGGGGCTTGGAGGGATCCCTGCCCTGTGCTGGGTTAACATGGAGACCAGAGACTGAGAAAGTCAAATAACCCCATTTGCTAGGTACTCAGAACAAGTCTGCTCTCATTTCAGACCAGAAGGATCCAGTGCCCACTAGGCTTCCCCCTATTATCTCAGAAGATGGGAATTACTCCGTGCACCAAAATAGCCACACAAAGTACCATGAAGCTGTTCGGAAGGTATCATTAAAGACATGTAAGTATCATGGATTTGTCACCATTCTAGGGGCAGAAAAGGTGTGTGTGAGTTGCTAAAGTGGCTGGGATGTGGTGGGGCGCTGTTTTAGAGCAGGCAGCAAGGTCAAAAAGAGCCAAGAAGAGACTGAGAAGAGGGAGAAAGTAGGCTCCAATAGTGAGGTAAGCAAGATAAGATAAAAATTGAATCAGAATTGACAGCAGAAGATCTACCTGTGAGTACTTTTCTCTTTCAAGTGTCTCACCATGGATAAGTCACTTATCCTTTTTTAACTTGTTTCTTCATTCATTTAGGGGGAAAAAAAAGGGCAGAAAATGCAGACTCCACCAACCTTACAGGATTGTTATGAGGATCAAAACTTTGGAATTTGAACTGAGTTTCAACTTAACAAGCTGTGTGACCTTGGGCAAAATCCTTTGATCACTTAACCTCTCTGGACCATCTGAAAACTGGAATAACAATCTAGTGTTTTTTGTGAAAGAGAAACTTACATTTTAAAAAGTTCCTAGGACAAGCCACTGATATAGGCAGATACTTGCAGGAATCTCCAGGGAATTCTGCTATGTAAAGAAAGCCAATCCCCAAAAGATCCTGTACTGTATGATGCCATTTATACAACATTCTTAAACTGACAAAATTACAGAACTGAAGAACACATTACTGATTACCAAGGAGTGGAGGGAGGAGTATGTGACTATAAAAGGGCAACTCTGGGATCCTGTGGTGACAGAACTGTATCAATATGTTAATAGCCTACTTGTAACAGTGAAAAGTGGAAGTTTTTTTTTTTTGCTTAATCATATTGGACTCTTTGCAACTCCATGGACTGTAGCCCCCCAGGCTCCTCTGTCCATGGTATTTCCCAGGCAAGAATACCAGAGTGCATTGCCACTTCCTTCTCCAGAGGGGGCTTCCTGACCCAGGGATCAAACCTGAGTCTCCTGCATTGGCAGTCAGATTCTTTGCCACTGAGCCACCTGGAAGGCCCCAATAGTATAGTAGGGATATTTTTTTTTAAATAATAATTATAAAGACTAGATAGCCAGAATATTAGGCTATAATCCTAAGTTTTAAAACATATACAAATTTTATACATTGGTATAATTAGATTTATACAATAAATTAAGAGTGAAAATTCAAAAAAAGAACATCTAGGTAAGTCTGATATTCAAAATTTTTTAAATATCTAATACAACATTTAGAATTTAACAGGTAGTTGATAAATTATAGGACTTCCCTGGTGGCTCAGATGGTAAAGCGTCTGCCTACAATGTGGGAGACCCGGGTTCAACCCTGAGTCAGGAAGATCTCCTGGAGAAGGAAATGGCAATCCACTCCAGTATTCTTGCCTGGAAAATCCCATGAATGGAGGAGCCTGGTAGGCTACAGTCCATGGGGTCAAAAAGAGTCAGACATGACTGAGCGACTTCACTTTCACTTGATAAATTTTATGTTAGCAATAGCTCAACATAAGGCAGTATCACTGCTAAATTTCAGAGAATTTCCTGAAATAAGCCAAGGGGGAGGGGAGGAAGAACCAGTAGACCCATCTTGCACATTTTCCAAGTGGGTTGTGTGGTTAGTGCTCTTATTGCCGAGGACCTGGGTTCAATCCCTGGTTGGGGAACCAAGATCCCACAAGCCAGGTGGCATGGCCAAATAGAAGAGAAACCAAGTAGGCAGACCACTTGTTTCTGCACCACCTTAGCACTTGTGGTAAACACAGGAAGAACCAAGACTGATTCCACTGGCCATGAAGGGTATAAGATGCTGAAATCCAGAAGTGGAGCTGGGTGTGGTGACTACATTTCCAGGACTTCTCAGCATCTGGTCAAGCCTAGTTGCTAGGTTGGGCTTGTGGTGCCCTGAGGCACAAAAGGGGGCACCCAACTCTAAGAAATCTGATAACCTGCCCAACCATTCAGTCCCCAATCAGGTCTTCAGGGTCCCCCTGACTGATGCTCAGAACTTCAGCTTCTGGCGGTCCAACGGTGCAGGAGTGCGCCCAGAGGAGACCATGCCATGGATCCAGAGCCCCCGCCACTGCCTCATCAAAAGTGCAATTACCAGGTTAGGTTGGGAGGGGTGAGGGTGGGGAGATCACTTAAATCCTTAGAGATGCTTTCATTTCTATTCAGAGTTGGAAAATGGAATAGGAGGTTTTTGTCTTACCAGGGAAAACTGGCCCCAGAATCTAGGCAGTAGTGGCTACTGCTAGTAGTGGCTATTCAAAGGAGCTAAAAGATTTATCCGTGTCTTTGTGTTTCACCTTATGGCTATGACTTCTGAACAGACTCAAGAATCTACAGCATTCCTGTGGGAGGCCTGGAATGTTTCTGCTCCCTTCACTGCCACCTCCCACCCCTCTAAGCACCACCCATTGGCAGCAGCTCCACCTCTTCATCACTACCCCTGCCCATTCAAGGTTTAAGACCCCCACCCCCACCCCCAGTCCAGCCTAACCTGGCTGAATTTGAGACTGTCTCTTTTACAGGTTTATGGATCACTCTATTCTCAATGACAGAAACTTCAGTCTGTATTGAACAGGATGTGTTTGCAGAAGGACAAGATAGTACTGCGGATGGAGCGGTGAAGAGGGAGGTATCCTGGTTCCAATGGCTGATTAATGGGAGGAGGGGACTGAGAAAGTGCAATAAATAGACTGATCTAGAAGTAACTTATGTACACAGGAAATGAGGGAGTTGGAAATTATTCCCCAATTCCTGTGAGATCAGGACTGTGAGAGATTCCTGAAGGAGTCAGAGCTTGGTGCTTGGTTTCGGGGGGTCCAGGACAGACAACTACAAGGGGTCCTGAGGTCATGCATGGAAGGAGTCAGAGTAACGAATGCTGCCGGGCCTCAGAGAGGTCACGCTCTCTGCAGACACTACAGCTTCATCTTGGCAGATGAAAGAGGTCTACAGAACCCCCAGCAGGGGCCTGCCCCCTCCACCAGGCTCTGCCACTTCAGACCCAACCCAGGGCCCAGAACAGCTGCAGAGAACAGGGAATTTTACAAAGAGTTTGATTTTTATTGATATTTAAATATATTAAATATTTCACTGAAATACAATGATATTCCACCCTCCCCCGCCCCCACGCTGGTTACATTATAAAACCAAAGTCCATGGGCCTCCCATCCACTGACTCCCCTACCAACTGGCAAGGGAGGGAGCAATATCAGCCCAGGGGAAATGCATGGCTGGCACTGCAGTGTGGGGAGCCAGGGTGCAGACAGGCCCCTTCCAACTGGCAAGAAACAGACACAAGTCACTCACTTCTGCTGTAAGTGAAGCGGTCTTCCTCTCTGGTCTCCTTACAGCCTCATCCCCACCCCAGGACCCCATGCAGAACCTTCCTGTCCAGGGCTGTGGCTGAGGGAAGGGGAGTGGACTTCATCTGAACCACCTTAGTTTTTCTCTTCTCCTGCCTTGGCTAATGAAGTGACTGATGGCCCACTTAGTTGATACATGAAGATCCCCCAGAGCAGTCAATACAAGCCAGAAACAACCTCTGCAAGGAACTAGAGTCAGAAAGGGCATGAGGAAGGGCAAGTACCACCTGCCCCTTCCAGTCCCCAGAGTCAGTAACTCTGGGACCCTCTCCCCTCTGCCTCTAACACCTCTGAGACAAAGCGATGTTCAAGCAAAACTGTGGCCAATGCCTCAGCTTCAACAGGTGCAGAGAAAGCAAGGTACCGACTCATTCAGGCCAGAGGCAAGGCTGCAAGGAAGCAGGTGAAAGGCAGGCGCGGACAGGAAGGGAATCTAAGGCCCAGCCCTCCTAACCCTCCTGCCAGCCCTCGCAGGCTTCATGGGGACTGGGGAGCATGGAGCACGCTGGGCTCAGGCTGCAGAATGGGGACGGCTGAGGTCCGGGTTCCCCTCTCCTTGCCCCTAGTACCAGAATCTGGGTCCTTGGGGGATCCCATGCTACCCCAGTCGCAAGGCTTACCACATCCCAGGATACCACCTGGGGAAATCCAGGGGACTCCCGAGCCTCTGTCCACCAAACCCCAGACAGTTCAAGGTCAAGGGTCATGGGGGCTGCAGCAGGCGCTTGGGTCCCTGCCCGAGCAGAGAGACAGTCGTGCTGCATGTGTGGTCCCCACACGGCAATCAGGGATTCGGCACAGAAGACCTCCTCTCCCCAGCCACCCTCCTCTTGTTACACACCCCATCCCACTCCTGTGCAAAATGGGCGTCTGTCTCCATCCCTTGAAATCAGACATCCTGCCTTACTCCCAGAAGACAGGCCCACAGGAAAGAGGCAACCCAGGGTGGAGAGTCGAGGAGCAGGAGCGCAAGGACACACAGACCTGGAAAACAGACACACACACACACACACACGGACCACCGTGCACACACAGTTAACACAGACACACAGGCCCTCCCCAGTGCCAGAGGCCTGGGAGGACAGGTTTAGGATCAGGGTTGTCTTCCTCCAGGCCCTGGCCCTTTTCTATTTGGCAATAGAAGGGGTAGAGATGCTCTGCGTCCCTTTCAGCAGACAGCAAGAGTGCGTGGGGGCAGAGCAGCCTGATCTGACCTTTGGAGTCTGGCACTACCCCCATCCCTGGCCGGCCTGCTCTCTTTGGCACCTGCAGGCGAACGTCCACCTTCCAGTCTTCTAACATCCTCATGCACGTGCCTGTTCCCTGGCTGGGTATTTTCACAGTACCAGTGAGACCAGATGCCCCTCTCCCTGGAGCTGTGCAGGAACTGGGGCTAATCTGAGCTGTCAGAAGTCCCTTTGTTCCCCTTTGGGGACAGATCGTGGGACTAGGAATTGGCAAATGGAAATGTTCCCCTGAAACATGGACAGAGCTGCATCTCCCGAGCCTCTCCCTCCTTGGCCCTGTGTCCCTGAGGGAGACCCGGCGGGGTGGGGAGGGCCCAGGACCCATGCTGGGGATGCAGGCACGGCAAAGGCAAGCATGGAACAGGCACTCTTCAAGCCTGCCCCAGTCTTTGTACAAAAGATTCCCAGGAAAAAGGGAAAGGAAGGGCCCAGCCCTGAGCCTGCTTCCCAGACAGACAGGGAAAAGGGAGGTGTGAGAAGCTGCCATTTTAATCTCTCAGGCAGGAAGGGTCCCCCGACCTTTGCTGCTGCCCCCTCCCCTGCTCCCAAAAGCTGGAAGAAAGGAGGGAAAGCAGCCCTACCCTAGTTTTAAAAAGTCACTTGCATAATCCTCTTGGTATCCCCTCGTTCACCAGCCTGAGGACGTGGTTGAACACAGCCAGCTGGGGTGTTCCCTTTGTGATCAGCAGGGTCTGGAGGCTCAGCGCCCCCTGCCACAGCTTCCCCCAGCGAGCACAGAATCCACCCAGATGCCCACCTTGGTCCTTTCAGTTGATCTGTAGCTGGGCCCTGCTAACTGCTGGGGCCCCCATTGAGGAAGTAGGTGGTCATCTCCCCCTTGCCCTTCACCTTGACCACCCCTCGACACTCCAGCTGGTAGCCCTTGGCCGCTAGAACCTGGTACAGGTCCGTGGTCACCTGGGGGGGTGGGGTGGGAGGGGAACCTGCTTAGGCCAGGATCCTTCCTGCTGCATTTGCAGGGGCCCAGGGGTTCTCTGGTCATGCTACTATCTCACCCCATAACCCCCTCCACCAAACACAGAATATCGCCGCCCTACCCCGGTCCTGGCTGACTGCAGAGGGGGCCCTGTGGAAGCTCCCCACACCCAGACCCCTCCCAGCTTCCGATTACAACCCCCTTACCTGGATTCGGTCGGGGACCCCGGTGCTGTCCATTCGACTCGAGACATTCACTGTGTTCCCCCAGATGTCATACTGTGGTTTTCGAGCCCCAATGACGCCTGCCACAACTGGGCCCATGTTCAGTCCTAGGGTGGGCAGGGATAAAAGTAAGAAATTGAGAGCAGTGGATGTTTCCCAGTCAGCCCAGGGAGGCACCACCTCCTGGCACCTTTAGAAGGACCCAGAGAAGAAACTGAAAATGGGACAAGTCTCCTGTTTGTAAAGAATGCCAAGGAGCTCCCTGAGTCAGAAGGGCTATGCCAGAACAGCAGCTAATCTACCAAAGGCTCATGCTGTGCCAACCGCTCTGTAAGTATTTTACACTATCTCAGCCTCTCAAATCATCCCCATTTTATAGAAAAGGTACCTGAAGCTTACAGAAGTTAGGTGACTTGCTAAATAAGCCCATAAGTGGAAGAGCGAGAATTCAAACCAGACATTCTGACTCCAGAACCCACGCTATTAACCACTCCCATCCACCGGCTCATCTGAGAGGAAGTGGCTCTTATCAGACCAGCCACAGATAGGGACGTAGGTACTGGTATCTACATAAACCTGGTCTTGAACCCCAGTTCAGCCATAACTAGTTGTATGACCTTGGCTGGGTTGTTTACCCACTCTGAAAATCCAACTCTTTTTCTGTAAAAGGGGATAATAATGTGAGGACTGATGTGTTAAAAAAAGAAGTCTGAGGCAATGCTTAGCACATAGGAGGCCCTTAATAAATGGTATCTATTCTTAACATCAGATGATATAGGAAGTGGGAGAAAAGGAAACCCCCACAGGACTCCTGATGGGGAGTCTGAGACGCCATCCCCAGCCTGCTGCCTCAGCTTCACCCCAGAAAGAGCCCTGGGAAAAATGTGCCATGATCCAGGCCCTCTTACCAATCTTCATCTGGAAATTGTTGAAGGAGTGCTCATTGATATGCTTCATCTGCTCCATGAGCCGCATGGCATAGTCGGCGAGGGCAGTGATGTGGGAGCGGCCCACCTGGTCATAGGTGCTGGCGTTCAGCCCAGAGGCAGCCATGTAGGTGCTACCAATTGTCTTGATCTTCTCCAGCTGCCGGAAGCGCTCCTCACTGATGATCTGGACAGTACAGAGGACCTGGCTGTCAAGGCAGAAAGGCCAGACCCATCCCTGCCCCAAGGCTCCTTCCTGGCTATGCTCTGGCCCCCTGCCCCACTTTCCTGTCTCAATACTTCTCTCCAGTAAGTGAGCCCCACTTCCAACTACTGTTCTTGGTGCTGGGCTAGGAACAGGGAAAACATCTCCCTTACTAGGCAGCTGCCAAAACCCAAGCAGGGACTTGAGCACCCAACTCCAGGTCAACTTCGACAGCTCACTACAGAACCCAGGACCACAGGAGGGATATCAGGCATCAGTGATTCCAACCCTCACCTTTGGGGGAAAAGTCCCAGACTGAGGAAGTGCCTTCTCTCCAGACCTGACCTGAATGTTCAGGACGCTTCCTCATGTTTTACTTCCATTTTCTCTATTTGGGATCATCTTGATTACTTGGCCTCATGAGGCCGTACTCTATAGATTACCAGCTCCTTCTTCAATGATATCCACTTGCTAACTCTACTGGCCCCTCCACAGATATTCATGTCCTCCTCTGCTCTCCAGTAACAATGATCCTGCCCCACTGGAGCTGACCCTGCTGCCTGTGACACATTCGTATCTGTCCCCAACTTCACTGTGCCTACCTTTACTCCTGCCCTTCATATCTCTGGGTCTCATCAGATGGGCCCCTCCAACTGGGACCTTCTTATCCAAAGTTCTCCCCACTTCTCTGGTCCCCATATCCCCCACCCTCTGCCAGCACCAGCTGAGGACAAGTACCTCATCAAAATCAGCAATGATCTCGTTGAGCAGTCGCAGGCACTCGACACCCTCGTTGTTGGCCTCCAGCTCCACATAGAACTCAGAGAAGTTGGCAATGGAGGCGAACATGACAGCCACACACTCACAGGACTGATAGTAGAGCTCATCGTTCCGGCGCTCCCGGGCCAGGAAGTGGGCAGCCACGTCCTTGGGCAGAATGTTATGTAGCAGCCGCCGGTTGTAGGCCTGGAGCTCTTCCATCTCCTCCTTCTCCCCTGTTGCCTGTGGATACCACACCCATCACCCACTGCCCAACATCCACAAGGCGTGGGTACAGCGGCCAACACCTGGAGAAGGGTATCCGAGGGAGCCACGTGGGAGAAGAAAACCAGGGAGAGATGAGGCCAGAGAACAGGCAAAGGGGCCGAGGAGGCAGGGACAGGATGAGGCGGGGGATGGGGGTGGGCACAGGGAAAGCATGGAGCCAGGGTGGGCTCAGGGCAGGCTGAACCTTGACCAGCCTAAGAAATGCCTGACGTGGCCCAGGCTCCGCCCCCAGGAACCACCCACCCACCCCAGAGGCCTGCCCTGTCACCTGCAGCTTCCAGAGGAAGTCCAGGCGGGCAGTGGACTCCACCTGCTGGGCATGCAGGTACAGCGCCAGTGCGAACACCAGTAGAATCACAGGGGTCATGTATTTGAGTGCCACCCTCCCGGCCGCTGGGCTGAGGGAAGCAGAGGCGGGCTCAGTGGCTGAAAGCGGCGTCTGGCAGCCCAGCCCTTTGCTGCCCTGGAGCCTCACTCACCAGTCCAGCCCATCAGAGGTCTCGTTGGAAGAAGCCCTGGCAGGAAGATACAAGAGACAAAGTCATTGGTTCTTCCTGGGTTGCCAGGTCAGAGCATGGAAGAGGAGATAGAAACTGCATTTACTGAGCACTACAGATCAGGGACCAGGCCAAGGCATTTGCTTGTATTAAGAGCAGAGATTCCACTCCTGGCTCCTCTACCCACGATCTATGTGACCTGGAACAAGTTGTTTAACTATGTAAGCCTCAGTTTCCTCATCAATACAAGAGTGATCAGATCTAAACAATGTGAGCAAAAGGCTTAGCACATCCACAGCTATAGAAAGCCCAAGTAGCACAATAAAGACCCAGCACAGTCTAAATTCTTAAAAAATGCTTTTAATTAAAAAAAAGACTTAGCACAGTGCTTGGCATCAGCAAGTCTTTGATAAATGTTAGTTACTATAATCTTTACAACTACCCTGTGATATGGATGGCACTGCCATTTTACAGATGAGGAAACTGAGGCTCGGAGAAGTTAACTTACCGATCTAAGGTCACACAGCTAATAAGTGGCAGAGTAGGGATTCAAACTCAGCAGGCTGCAGAGGCTTTTTCTACCACACCATATGTCTCTGCCACATAAGGTGTGGGCTTTTACAGAGGAAAAGCCAGTGATGTCCCAGGCAGAGCCCTGAGGCAGGAGCCCGGGTTTTGGTTCCTTTCCTAGCCGGCGCACTACCCCAAGCAGCTATGTGACCTACAAGTAGTTAAGAGTGGATATGAAAGCAACATGCAGATGCAAGAGGGAGTTTTTATTTTCAATGTCTAGCCTAAAGACAAAGGGACTTCCCAGCTCTGGGGTTTCCTTGAGGTGACTGCTGGGGGTCATGTGCACCTCCTTTCCCCCCATGTGAGGGGTGAGTGGTAGCATGCCAGGGCACAAAGGGCTCTCAGTGACCCAGCAGGGTCAAGAGGCTCCTGGGGGATTAAAGGGGTTGAGGATAAACTCACAAGCCATGGACACCCAGCAGGAGGTCATAGTTGTCAAAGATGGTGGCTGGGGGACCCAGCAGAAGCAGCACCAGATAGACGAGCCCCAGGACAAAGATCATGGCCAACTTCCCGATACTACTGATGTGCAGGAAGACAGAGCTGGCCAAGAGACTCAGCAACACGTTCCCAATGAAGTACTGCGGAGCGAAGGCAGAGGAAGTCTGGGTGAGGGCAGAGGACAAGGCATGCCGCCGCCTGACCTAAGTCCCCTTCTACAACCTCAAACCCAAGCCTCCTTCACCCTCCACACACCCCTACACCACACCATGCCAGGGCTGCTCCTGGAGCTGGAGACTCTGGTGAGATCCTGGGTCCCCAGTGCCCACCACCAAGCCTGGCACAGAAAGGTCAAGAACTGGTACTGATCAGGACCCCCCCCACCCCGCCTGACCACTGCCTGGACACCTCGGGGAAGCTGCAGGTGGGTGCGGTGCCCTCACACAGGGGAGCATCCAGGCCCAGAGAGTAATTGAGCTGCTGCAGGTGGCAGGCGGTAATGTCAGCAGGGGTTAAATTCAGCATCCGGGCAGCACAAGTCCGTATGGGGGTGTGGTTACAGGTGAACTGCAAAAACAGGGGGAGGGGAGGTATATATTAGGGTAACTGAGGGAGGGGAAGGGTTACCAGGGCCATGCCCAAGTGCCTTATATGCCAGAGGCCCCAGTTCTCACTGAGGGATAACAAAAGGCAAAGGGAGCAAGCCGGGAGGACAGGGGTTAACCTCGCTCCTGCTTTGGGGAGGAAATGTGTCTCGTTCCTCCTTGTAGCCGTAGCACCCAGAACAGTGCTTGGCACAGAGAAGGAGCAGAATTCTCCCTGGACCTTTACCATGCTGGCAACGGCGGAGGTGAACACAAGCAGGACAGAAAAGATGCCAACTGCGGTGCTGTGTGCCCTCGAGCGGACGATACTGCGAGACACACGTCGCAGGGCCTCAGGGAACAGCTGTCAGGAGGCAGGAGACGGAGACAGGCCACGTCACCCAACAGGTAAGGCCACGCAGGGCCAGGTCCAGTGGCAGAGGCCTGGCCTTCTCCTCCCTCCCCACTCCCAGCCTGGCCTTCCCGACCAGCCCCAGAAGGTCCCCCACGTACAGAGCCACAGGAGTACACAGCACAGGTCAGCACGGTGACCAGTAACAGCACGAAGATACCAGCATGGATCCCAAGCATCAGCGCTGAGCTGGGCGGGAGAGGGCCAGGGAAGATGTTACTCTGGCAGATATGGGGGTCCTTTCCCACGCCCTGGGCAGGCAGGGGGCAGGCCCCAGGACTGTGTGCTTGTGAGGGTGTTTAAGAAGGGTCCGGGAAGTAGGGGAGGGAAGAGAAGCCCAGCAAGGAGGGGCAGAGCTTACCGTGGGAAGACTAGGAGCTGGATGAAGCAGATGAAACAGAAGACCAGCAGGGCACAGGCCACGTAGGCTCCAAAGCGGGGGTCCACCTTGCGTGAGTACTGAGGGACAGGAGACTGAGCTGGGCGCTGCCACTGCCCTCGGAAGGCGGGGTGTTGCCAGTCGGCCCGGCTGAGATGCATCCCCACAGTGCCCTGTGGTCACCCCCGACTCCCCAGAAACCTCTCCTGTTCCCTCACTTGTGCTCAAACCGCCCTGCCGGGACCTCCTCCTCCTGCCCTTGCATCCCCCAAACCTTCTTTTCAAGATCCTCTCTCTGGAAGGTGAGCAGGAACCGTCGCACGTGGTCCTTGCGCAGCTGATCGATGCTGCGGGCGTCAATGGCCCGGCCCAGGAACTCGTCCACCTCATCCTCAGGGTTCAGGGCATCCTGAGCACCCCGGCTGAGGGCAGAGGACATGGCTTCACCAGGTGCCTGACCACGGCCACGTGACAGGTGATGAGAGGGGAGGGGCACGGGCAGCACTCAGAGGAGTGTCAGCGGGGCAGGTGGCACCTGCTCCCACTCGACACATCTGAAGTCCAGGGAAGAGGGGGATCTCAGCTCCCCACCACCTCACCCCAGGGTGCAAGTGCCTTCACCCACCCGCCCTCCTCAACAGCCTGACTTACTTGTCTTTGCTGGAATCATCGATGCCCTGGAGAAAGGGACAGAGTGTGTGAGTGAGGTGATGGGCAGGCCACCTTCACCTCTACAGTCCCTTCCCCACCCCCAACACTGTGCTGAGGGCTTTCCCCATAGACTCTGGGGAGCCTGGGACCCCTGGGATGAAATCAGCCCTCCCATTCCCAATTCCAGAAACTACAGAGACAACAGCCTCAACAAGAGAGGCAGAAGAGGGCAGGGGGATACTGAGCGTTGAGGGAAACAAGAAACCAAGGCCCGGGTCCAGGTGCGGTGGGACCCTCACCATCTGGCGGAAAGCCTTGGAGTCCTTGGTCCGGGAGAAGGCACGGTCGGGTACCCAGCGTGGCATCAGCCCCTCCATGGAGTTGGCGCGCGCCCGCTGTAGCTTGGCCAGCATGGCCTTCTCCTCTTTCTGTGTGGACAGCGCAGGTACAGGCTGGGAAGAAGTGCCCAAAGAAGGCCTCTGCTGGCTCCCTCCACCTGCCCCTCTCCCCAGCTGCCTTGCCTTCCCCAACCCGACCCTGACCCGTTTCTGGCTGGCTCCCAGGATGAGGAAGGTCTCAATGTGCTGCTCCTTGAGGTAGGCGTTGCGCTCCCCGCCGCGGCCCGGCTCCACCTCATAGTCCCCATTCAGGTACTGCAGCGTGGCCCGGGTGATGTGGATGCGGCTGCGTGGGACAGGCGGGTGAGACCCCGGCTTACCCGATGGCTCCCACCCCTGAGCCCCTGGACCCGCACTCACCCGGCCCGGCCCCCAGCCTCCATGTGGTTGGCCAGAGTCACGTCATTGGACCACACATCAAACTGCCACTTCCGCAAGCCAAGGACGCCGCAGTGCACCCGCCCGCTGTGGATGCCCACGCGCATGTTCACGTTCACACCTGTCACCTCGCGCACCAGCCTGGGAGGAGGTGGCCTGGCTCAGCTCTTGGTAGTCCTCCCCACCCCTAGCCCAGAGCCCAGGCCTTGAGCTCGCCTTGGAGCCAAGTGGGCAAGGACAGACCCAGCCACAGGGCACACGGCACACCCTTGGCGGGACACAGGTAGGAGGCTGCAGAGGGCTCAGGGACACGTGTGTGGGAACCCTGCTCGCCAGCAGGGGTCCAGCTGCATCCTATGGGACTGGGGGAGATGAGGCATCACCACCCTCCCAGCAGGCCGACAACTGGTATTCTCTCCAGCGTAAATCCCCCCTCACCCTGACTCCCCCTGCCCCATCCCAGCCACTGGAGTCTAAGGTGCCCATGGATCTTCACATGGGCTGAAGCCTTTCCCCTCCCCAGGCATGGATCTCCAAGACAGAGAGACAGCCAAGACTGAGGAAAGGTCCTAAGGACACATCGAAGGGGAAGGGCAGGCGGGGCCCCCTCAGTCCCAGGAAGCCTGGGAGGTGCTCACGAGATAGCCTCGATCATGTCCACCCCCATCTCCACGCAGCAGTGCGCATGGTCTGCCCGGGCCTCTGGCAGCCCTGACACGCAGTAGTAACAGTCCCCTAAGATCTTGATCCTCAGGCAGTGATTCTCCTGAAGCAGAAAGAGTTGGGGGAGAGTCACCTTTACTCTCGTACCACCCGGCCCACCTAGCCCACTACTCTCACTGCAGACTCCAACAGGCTCTCACCCCAAGCTGCTGCCAGAGAGGTGTGCCCTCACCCAGTCAGCCCTGCCCCCTAGCCCCAGCACCCTCACCGCAGCCAGCTTGTCAAACCGGGCGAAGAGCTCGTTCAGGGTCATGACCAGCTCCTGCGCTGTGCACTGGGACGCCAGACTGGTGAAGCCTTCAATGTCCGCAAACAGGATGCTGTGGAAGATGGCAGGAGATGGAAGGACGGTGTGGCCCTCAGAGGCTCACAGACCTCCCCACCTCTCCCAGTATCCTCCCCACCCCAACCCTACCTGACATTGTCGTGCTTCTGGATGTAGATCTTATGAAACATCATGTCTTCTTTCTTTGTGTTGATGTCTTCTTTCATCTCCATGGCAACGTGCTGGGGCAACACAGACAGCAGCAGCCGCTCCTAGACCAGTGGTTTCAACAGGGCACCACTATCTTCCTGGCCTCACGCTTTAATCCCTCCTGGTCCCTCCACATCCCTGGAACCCTCCCTGACCTCTCTGGAGTCCTGAGCTTCCCTCCTGGACCGTAGCCTGACCCTCCTCCGATAGAGCCCTCAGCAGACACACACCCCAGTCTTCTCTGACTACACCCCATTCAGCCCCTCAGGTGCATTCCATCTATTCCCTCCCCTCCTCTGACAGGCCACCAAGTCCAAAGTCAGAGAGCCTCTGTGACGCACAGTCAGGGGGAACCATTCACTACTCCATCGAGTTGCACAAGTTAGCAGATCCAACCTGCAAGCTATTGGCAGGTGGGGCGGGGGAAGGCCGTGATCTGGAAGAGCAGCCCCACCTGCTGCCGGTTCTCATGCTGCAGGTGCAGCCGGGCCTGGATGTAACCGCGGGTCTCTTGAAAGGCCTGGCGCTGAGACACCTCAGCCGGATAGTGAGTGCAGATGCCAATGACATTGGTGCAGAGGAACAGCAACATGTTGGCACCAAGCTGCAGAGGAGTGGCAGAGGCAAATGGTGACCACCCCCAACACACACTGCTGCAACTAGCTAGGCTCTTGGTAGAAGGACTGTTTGGGGGAGGAAGCCAGGAGCCTGTGCCCTGTCTTCCCCAAGCCCAGCCCCACCCCTGCAGTCCAGCTCCCCATTCCCCATAGGGGTCCAGCTCCCTGCCTGGCTCACCCCTGGTGAGAAATGTGATCTTCTCACAACTCCTGGGAGTGGACCCACCAGCCAGGGCCAGGTAGGTCACGGGCCTGCCCCAGCACACTCTGACTCCCTGCCACACAAACACCCCAAACAAAAGACACATGCTGCTGCTCCAGCACGTGGTTCTCCTCACAGGACGACACCCAGGAGACCTGAGCGCCAAACCTCCCTGTGCGTGCCTAGGACAAGTCCCCTCATCTCTCTGGGCCTGTCTGCTTGTCTGGAACCTGGAGAGGGACAGTGAGATCTCCAAGGTTCCTCCCTACCCTGACATAAATTAATACGATAATAATGGCTACTATTATCATTACTGGAGCTAATTTGTTGGCTATTTACAACGTGCTTGGATTCTATAGGTGTGCTCTATACATTAACGAATGCATTTCTTACAACTCTATGAGATGGGGAGCATAATCTCATTTTAAAGGTGAGGGACTCCGGTGCACAGAAATTATATAAGCTGCCCAGGATCTCACCGCTGGTAGTAGCTGGTGTGAGACTCGAGTACAGGACAGTCAGACTCCAGGCTGTGTCCTAACCTACCGTGTACTACAGCCTACGTTCCCAGGACTCCAACTCACTCCACTCACCAATGCTCTTGAGGCCCACCTCAGAACCCAGGCTTGGGAGTCATCGATTCCACTGACACGATGAACACTTCTGAAGTGGGATGGGGTGCCACCACGCCTGGCCACCCCCAACACTTGGTCCAGCCAGGTCCCTACACCCTAGGACCCCAACCCAAAGGTATTCCATCCTCAGTCAGCAGCAGCAACAGTGACTGGAGAGCGAGTCTAAGGGAAGCTGGCCTCAGTGATTCTGGAACTTCAGGGGTTAACCTGGCACTTGTGGCTCCACCCCAGAGTTGGCTGGGGCAGGGCTCTGGTTTTGGGAGAAGGGAGGGCAAGAGCACCAACTGGAAGCCAGGAGTTCTGGGCTCTGCCCGGAACCAGGACTCATCCTGCAAAATTGGGCCTCTCACTCAGTCTCTGGGACCTCGGCTTCTTGTTCCTTGGGTAAGACGGAGGGTGGGCCAGCTAACCCCCTGCCATTCCCAGCTCCCGCCCTCTAGGATTGGTCTCCCAGCTTCCCTTCTCTGTGCAGCTCACAAGACCCCCCCCTTCCCAGCAGCAGGGGTGAAGAAGGGGGGCACACTATCTCCCTTGAGGGTTTCTAAGAATAGCCCCCAGTGGGGGAGAAGAAAAGGGGGGGCAAACCAGGCAACTTCCCTTCCTGGCCCCAGGAGCCCAAGAGGAAAATGTGAGTCATGGTGGAGGGAAGGGGAAGGGGGACAAGAGACTGAAATAGATCTGTACACAGACCCCGATCCGACTGTGAGAAAAAATGGCTGCCAGGGCAGTGTAGGACATGCCAGGCTGGACTGGGTCACCGGGTGAAATGGCTCAGTGTGTCTGGGTGAGTGGGTCAGAGGACGATCAAAGGTCTGGATCTGGGAAGGGGCTGTCCAAGGACCACAGAAAGGAGGCCAGAGCCCCACCCAGAAACCTGAGAGCCAACTGGGTGCAGGGAATCCTCAGTTCAGAGAAGGGGTATGGGCTGCCCTGGCCCCAAGGACTGGCAGCTTTCTGCACTTGCCCCAGGAACATGCCCACTGAGCCCCACTCCTTGGGCACCCTGGAGAGGCGGGAGACTGGCACAGTCCTGGCCTCTAAGGACCTGTGCCTCCCTAGTCAGGCCCTGGGCTTGGCTCTGGGCACCAGGCCAGCAGAAACCAGGGAAGAGCCACCCATCTACCCCAGAAAGGATGGGGGGATGGGAGGTCCCACCTCCAGGCTCCTCCTTCCCCAAGAGGGCAGTCCAACTCCAATGCCCAGTGTGACAGCTCCCCTGATGGGGGGCTAGCAATGGCAGAAGGACCCTGGCCCTTTAAGAGATTTGACAGCGCCCTGCGGGTATGTGCTCCACAAACAAACTGGCTATAAGGTTACTCTTTAAAAGGTACATTCTGTTCCACAGGCAAGGCAGGGAAGGGCATCATGCCAGAGCACCCAGCTTCTCACCCTGGGAGCCCCAGGCAACTTCCTCTTTGTGGGTGGGGCTGGGTGGGCTACAGGCCACAAGCTCTGGGCAAGGTAGAGCAAGAAAGCGGACAGCACCATCTACACCAGGGGCCAATGGAGGGATCACAAGGAGGGTCGGGGAGCTGTATCTACCGCAGCCCCAAAGGCTCAGCTGGGCAAAAGCCCCTGTGCCTGGTCAGGGGACGACATGAGACAGCCAACTCCACTGGCTCACGTCTCTCTGCAACGGACGTCCCGGAAGCCCCTTCACTGGGTCCCATCCCCTCCAGCCTCCCCACACCTCGCTGCAAGTGAGAGCACCACCCTGTGGGGCTCTGCTCCGCACTGGCAGAGGGCAGGGCCCAGACAGCAGCATCAGGAGGCAGACACCATCTGTATCTCCTCTTTACAGAATGGGAACCTAAGACCGGGAGAGGCAAGATGTGCTGTCTGCACGCTCACAGAGAGGATTTCAGCCCCTTGGACAACCAGGTCTGCCCGCAGCCAAGCTCTTACGAGAGCCTCACCTCACATACCACTCAGAACCCAGAAGCAGAAGCCCACAGGGGCAGAGAGCCTCAAGGCAGTTTCCAGAGCCCTGGTGCTCAACGGGAAGAAGGCGAGATGAGGTCGGAGCCTAATGCCCCTCTTGTCCACAGTCCCACCCCAAACTATTCCCAGCCCAGGAGAGAAGAGACCACCCATCACCTCCCCTGTCCTCTGGGAAGTCCAGGAGACAGGTGATTCCTCCCTTGCCAACTCCATCGAGAACCTACTTGATCCCCCCACATCACCACCGAGAGCTGCCTAGAAGGAAGGCACCAAGCCTGGAGTCTCCGGTTGGGGTCAGGGGTCAGGGTAGAATATAGCCTCCCCTGCCCCTCTCAGCCTTGCCCCCACCCAGGGGCTAAACATCACCTGCCCTCCTCCAGCCCTACACTGTGTCTCTACAGATTATACTATTTCAAGAGCCTCAGACTAAAGAGCTGCGGACAGTGGCCCACGGGAACAGAGCACAGGGTCTGCAGCCTTCCTTCCCCTCCTCAGGGCCTTCTGCCCCAGATCCCAGATGGAGACTGACCCCTGAAACCAGGCCTCCCAACCCCTGCCCCCCTTCTCCCTCACCCAGTGTCCATCCAGGACTCATCCGCCCCCCTCATCACCAGACCCCTTCTCATTCCTGGCCTGATGCCCCAAGGCCTACCTCCCCGACCACCCACCTGCTTCCAGAGGAAGGCATCACCACGGTTGAGCTGCCAGGCCAAGATCAAGTGCAGGGTGGAGAGGCCCAGGCCGCTGAAGACAGCGGCCCGCATGCGGATGGGGAGGAGTGTGTAGGTGATGTAGACAAAGAACACAGGGCACCAGAGGCCTGCAGACGGGCTGTGCGGGTTGGCTGCCAGGGCGCCCCCAACCTGCACGGCCGCCAGGATGCCCAGCACCACATAGCTCACCACCCACATGGCGTCCTGGCGGAAGCTGTGGCGATTGCACACCACCATGAGTGCCACGAAGAGGGTGGCAGCGCAGGCCAGCAGGGCCACATAGGCAGGCTGAGGGCGGGCGGGCGCTGCGTGGAAGGCCAGCAGCACGGCCGTGAGCAGCACGAGCACCGCCATGAGCAGCGTCAGGCTGCTCTGGTTCATCTGGAAGAAGTACCGCTGGTACAGGCGCTCCAGTTTGGCCGAGCGGAACTGCTTCGACCTGAACACCTGCACCAGCTGGCGCCAGCAGGCTCTCCTGCTCCTGGTGGCCACGCTGGGGGCCGCCTCAGCTGCCCCGACGGCCATGGCCCCCTCAGGGTCCTCGAAGCCCAGGGCCACCGCCCGCAGCCCCAGCTCCGGGCCCTTGCCTGGGCCCCCCCTCCGGATGAAGGCCTCATCCTGCCAGGGGCACCGAGGGGCAGTGGCGGGGGTTGGGCTGGGTGGCTGCGCACCCTGGAGGCAGCTCATGTAGCGGGGTGTGCAGAAGCCACTGGTGCGGGTCCCGCGGCGCGGCCGCTGCTGCCCATTGCGTTCCCCCCAGGCTGTTTTCCGTTCATCCACTTTGGGGACCAAGAGGCCGCTAAACCACGACATCCTGCGGGGAGGAAAGGAATGAGACGGTGTCAATACCCCCATCACGGGCCGCCACCACCAGCAGCTCTGAGCACTTCCTGCTGCCACGCTGAGCGCTTCGGGCACATCCTCCTCCTAAAATGACTCTGAGGAAGACCAGGGTAGCCCTAGTCAACAGGTGAGGAAGGGTGGGGTCACCTGCCCAAGGTCAAGCAGCCACACAAGTGTAAGAGCCGAGATTCTAACCCAGATCGGTCTGACTCCAAAGCAGTTCACTTAAACATCCACCTCTTCCCTACAAGGCACTGATCTGGTGGTCACAGACTCGAGTGCCTGTCAATGAGAAAAGCCACCTGGCTCAGGAGAGTGGGGGCACACCCCAGACAGGGGCGAGCACCACCCCACACTGGTGGACTGGTGCCACCGGTGTCCCAGTGGAATCTCATCTGATTTTTCAACAGAAGCTTTTAAAAATAAGAGTAGACTTTAACACGACATCTCCTGGTTTTACATGTTGGCAAGGGACTTCCCTGGTGGTTCAATGATTAAGACTCCACTCTCCCAAAGCCGGGGGCCCAGGAGTCATCCCTGGTCAGGGAACCAGATCCCACATGCCGTGTGGTGCGGTCAAAAGATTAAAAAAGAAAAATTAAATTTTGGCAAGTAACCAACATTTCTCAATACTGCAAGCCAAATAAATCACATCTATGGAATGAATTCAGCCTGTGAGCTGCCAACTGGTGACCTCTGTACAAGCGGGGATCTTGCACGCGTGCGCGCGCGCACACACACCACGCACTTCACCAAGTGAAAGTCACTCTCCCCCAGGTTCCAGCTTAAACGTAACTTCCTCAGGAAGGTGTCCTAGGCCCCCACCCAGACTAGGTTTGGTCCCTTATTCACTCTCCACGCATTCCCTCCGTAGTACTGCTCACAACTGAAACTAAATCACCCCTTGGAAAAGACCCTGATGCTGGGAAAGACTGAGGGCAGGAGGAGAAAGGGGCCACAGAAAACAAGATGGTTGGATGGCATCACTGACTCAGTGGACATAGTTTAAGCAAACTCCAGGAGATGATGAAGGACAGGGAAGCCTGATGTGCTGCAGTCCTTGGGGTCACAGAGTATCAGGCAAGACTTAGAGGCTGAACAGCAACCACAGCACCCCTTGTTTATTGTGTGACTCTGCCCCCAGACTATAAATGTTATGAAAGGAGGGATGATACCTAGTTTGTTCAGCACTTTATCCCCACCCCCAAGTACCCCTAGCATTGAGCCTGGCTCATGGTGGGTACTCAACCAATTTATATGTTGAAAAGATAGGAAAAAAGCAAGCTCAAGGGACTAGTTCAAGAGAAGCTAACGTGAAATAATAACTAATAGCGATAATCCTATGATTCTCCATCTCTCTTACTGTACTCTGGTTCACTTAGCCTCTTTGCTGTTCCCCAACACACCATGCACAAGCCAGCCTGGGACCTTGGTGCTTGCTGTCCCCTTTGCCTAGAACAAGGGCTCCTCCAGGTCACAGCTCAAACACCCCCTTATCAGTCAGCTTTCCCTAACCACTCTATTAAAATAGCAACCCCCTTTCCTGGCGCTCCCTATCTCTCTTCCAGGCTTTATGCTTTATTTTTCTCCACCACTCTTATCGGCAACTGCCATTTTATATATTTTTCTTATTTGTTCATTGTCTGTCTCTCCTAACTGGAATGCCAACTTCACGAGGGCAAGGATTTGGGCTGGTTCTGCTCACTGCCACATCTGCAACACCTAGAAGGGTCTAAATGAATGTTCACTGAGTGGACAGGTGGGTTGGGGGATGGATGGATAGATAACATTTCCACACACTTTCCCTCTGCTTTGAATGATTATCTGATCATCACCAAAACCCTGTGAGGCTGGTCCTGTGGCCACCCAGTGCACGGGACAGATTTGACAGCCAAACAAAACAGAATGAAACCGAGGTCCACTGAGTCTTACACGGCCGGCCCAAGCTCAAGGGATCACGAGGAATCAAGTCAGCCCCAGATCTCACGTCTCCGGGAGGAAAATGTCTTGACCTGGGGCGGGAGGACTTCCTGACAACACCCTGGACGTGTTTCCAGCTGAGCGCAGCTCAGGAGAAGGTGAGGGTGAGAGCCCCGCCACCATGGACACCTGTGTCCCCTCCAGGGCTCCATTCTTGCATGCCACAGGGCACCCTGAGAGGCTCCCCACACAACCCTGCAGAGCTAGCAGCACTGACATTTGTACTCACGAGAGGAGTACCCAGCACTTGCCCAGGTGGCCACAGAAGCAGTGTTTCAAGCTGACACCCAGGGGCCCACGGGGCAGAAGGCAGCCTGGGGACCTCTCTGCACACGGGAAACCCCCATTCCCAAGCACACTCCGCCACGTTCCCTCGGTGTCCTTCGACCCCTTAACATCACCAACTGCACCATCTGGAGAAACATATCAAAAACCCAAGACTTCTGGTCAGGCTGGTGTTTGGAAAAGGTCACCGAAGAAAGCCTGGCTCTTCAAAACAGTTCCCTGGAAACGGGGTCTTGGGAATGAGACTAGGCTTCAGACCTTACTGTGATTATTTGCTAGCTTCACGGCCTCGGACAAAGTTACATCACCTCCCTATGTCACTTTCTTCATCTGTAAAATGGGAATAAGAAGAGTTGCAAGGGAAGAATAGAACAGCCCCTGCCACGCACGTAGTACACACTTAGTAAACATGAGCTCTTCTCCCCGCCTTCCACCACTTTGAACCTAAAAGCCTGTCAATGTCCAAGAGATGGAAAGAGAGGAAAAGTCATGAGCAAAACCCCACGCATGCCAGCCAGTCACGTGTCACTATGTCCTCAACTGTCAGTCTCCAGAGCTGCATGAGACACAGCCCAGAGCAAGCAGGTTGCCCACTCCCTGTGATATTTTGCTTAAGCCTCCTCACCCTCACCCGTCCCCTGACCTGTCCTTACCACCACCCTCCCCACCATGGCCAGACCTCCGTTCCCAAAGGACCCGTTTCTGGCCATGTTCCCAGCCCCCTGGAAGCACATCCTAGCATGTGGCTTGTACTCACAGAGGAAGGCACAGACATTGTCCAGCAGAATGCATGACCCTCCCAAGAACGCTCTGACCCCACAAGCGGATAGCTTCAGAGATCTGTAATTGTCCAACCAACTGCAACCATTCCACCCTGGGCTCCACTCCAGGCGCTGCCCAACTTGGGAGAACTCACTCCTGGCACCCCACGCCAGGCTGGTACGGCAGGGAACAGGGCAGAGTACTGTTCAAAGCCACAAAACTTCCCTATATGGGCCCCCACCCCTACATGTCCAGGAACCCAACACTGTGAACCACAGACCACCCGCTCCTCCCCAGATGCAGGCTCCTGAGCCTGTGCCCCGGACCCTTCCTCCCCAGGCTCCTAGCCTCTTTGCTCTCTCACCGATCTTCTGCTCCAGTGCAGACCCAGGCACCTCCAGCTCCATCTGGGAGCTGTGTCCATGCAGCCTGGCAGACCCAGGCCCAGGGCCCCTGATCCCAAATCTGGATCCTCTGGTGGGTCTGCGACTTGGAGCATGAAGCAGGCCAGGCCCCAGCCCCAAGGATGGCTGTACTTGCTGTTTCTCCCTACACCCTTCGCTCTACACCCTCTTCCTGGCCAGCTCCTGTCCCCATGACCCCTCTGCCCCTGCCCTCCTTGGCAAAAGGAGGCTCCGGGGGGGACTTTAAAAGGACTTCAGAAAGTTCATGGCAGAAGGCGCTGCCCAGGCCGGGCACTTCAGTGCCAACACCACCCATGAGGCTGGGACGTGGGCCTCAATTCCAGGCCTATCCAGATGTGGATGAGCCCTGCCAGGGCCTGTATCAGGAGGTCCGGCGACCCTTCCCCTCCCTCCCCCAGCCCCTGGTCTTCCTGAAGATGGCACTGAGCTTCGTCCTCCGCCACAGCCAGAAAACCCCCCATCAGGGTCCTCCAGTCACAAGGCACTCGGGTCAAGGGAGGCTGGGGGAAGAGAGTCCACCGCCTGACTCCTGATTCGAGGTTTTCAGTCGGGCCCCAGAGCTGTTCTGAATAAATTCTGCCCTAACAGCCGGCCAGCACACCAACCCTTTCTGTTCCCAAGGTCTGGGGTGAGGGGGGTGATTGCAGGCAGAGGGCACCCCTCCCTCCCTTCTTCCCCAAGCACAACCACACTCTACCTCAAACTCGGAGACGCACCCACAGCCCGGCTGCAAAAACCTCAGGGCAGCCCCTCCCCCCCGTACAAGCCTCTCCCCATCTTCCCCGCCGGCCGGGAACTCGCTCCGGGTGGAGAAAGAGAAGCGCCCGGCGAGGGGTAAGGGTGGGAGCCTGCAGCCCGGGACCTGAGTCCACCGTCCCCCATCCATCCCCTCCCGGACTTCCCCTCCGCCAGTCCCGACGGCCCGGTGCTCCCAGCTCCTGCGCGACCACAGAACTCTCGGGGGGCCGCGCGGGAGTCAGCCCGCTGCCGCGCCGAGACCCGAGCTCAGGGCGCCGCCGCCTCCCGCGACGCTCCTCCGCGCGGTCTCACCTGCCGGCCGGGGTCGGCGCCTCCCCGGGGCCCCCGCCCCGCCGTCCCCGCGGGCTCCGGCCGGCCGGCCGGCAGTCCCGCGGTCCCGCTCGGCGCCCGTGCGTCCCGGCCGTGCCGCCCGCCGTCCGCAGTCCGCCGGGCCCGCGCCCCCTCCCTTGTTGTCCAGCGCAGCCGCCCTCTACCCCGGATCCAGAAGTCCCCTCCCCGCCGGCTCCCGGACTCCCCGCCTTAAAGGCACAAGCTCCTTTTGTCTGGGCACCCCCTCCCCCCCCACCACCACCCCGGACGCCTGGCCGAGCGGCCCGACTCCCTTCGGAGGAACGGGGTAGGGGCGAGCGAGACCTAAGAAGAATGGAAACCCTCCGCACGCCCCCTCCTCTCCTCCGGCCGCTCCCTCCCCCAGTCTTGGGAAAACAGGCGGCTACTGTTCTGGGATCAAGACCCCGGGGAGGAGCCGGCCGGCCGGGT